CACCTCAGCCAGTGTGTTGGTACGGCTACAATAACTCCAACAGCAACAATAAATGCGTTATGATGGGGTTTTGGGAGGGAGTCAATGGCCATGGGTACTCCCATACTGTGTTTTCTTGTCTCCCTCCCCTTGGTGACATGATGAGGCCTTGTTGCTCTTTTTCTTCTTTGAAAGGGTGCGGGCAGGAGGGGGTGGGATAAGAGGGGTGTGCCTCGCGGTACCCGGATAAGGGGATGCGCCTCACCGGATCCCTGCTGATTTGCCGTAACTGTAATTGCAATGCAAACGTTAGCTGTAGGATAGTTTCAAATCATACCCTTTTTAGTTTCACCTGCAATTACCTGGCTCGGTTTCAAAACTTCACGCTATGTGGCACAATTACTATTTGCAAGTGTTTGTTTTGGGGTATATATTGCTTCTTTTGACATGTTGGAAGTTGGTTATGATCCAAGCTAGAATTTAAACCTAGCTAGTTTGGAATTGAAGAAGGCTGCAACTGCAATTTACGTCTGTATTTATTAACTTTGACGAAACAAACGATAATGCATCACCTCGGAATCGATCGCATGCAAGCGGTCGGTTCTGACCACTCATTTGGGGGAAATTTATAAATTTACCCCTCTACTATTTGGGGTGAAGGGTCAGAACCAACCGCTCGCATGCAGTCAGTGCTGATAGGAACAATACTCGAAACAAACAACTGCACCTCTCCAAAGTGTCCCAAATGCATGCAACTTCCATCACAATCCCTCTAATTGCAACAAAGAATGGTCCCTTAGTATATAGCAACTACTAATATCAAGGCATGATCTTAGAATTCAATGTGTGATTTCGCACGTTTCAACATGAGAAAAGAAAGAAATGAGAAAAGAAAATGCAAAGTAGAAGAAAAGTGAATTGGGCCGGGGCCATTGCTACTCTGAGGGCTCATAATGGGCCCCAACGGTCAGGATCAATCAAGCACGCTGTTTCTCGACTTTGCGTGCAAACCACACCTCACATCCCCCACTTTTGGTATTTAGAAAAACAAAGAATTTAGTATGAACATATAATCAATTATGGGGAATACCTGATTAGGGTTTGTTGGAGTAAAAATACATAATTTATTATTAGTGCGCGCCCCGTACAAAATACGCCCTCCTATTTTTTTAGCACTGTATTTTGAACTTGTCTCACTCTAAGTTTTAATACATTTTATTTAATTATTGTATGCTTAAAATTAGAAATCATATCTACTCTTCTATACTTAAAGAATGATCCAAGTTTTAATACATTTGACTTAGAAATCATATCTACTCATCTATACTTAAAGAATCACTAGTAGAAAAACTAGCAATCTAGACGGAACAAACTAGACGGAATTTTTTTTCCGTCTAGTTTGGGTCAAACTAGACGGAATTAATTCCGTCTAGTTTGTTCCGTCTAGGTTGAAACAAACTAGACGGAAATTTCCGTCTAGTTTATTAATCTAGACGGAAATATCAACCTAGACGGAAATTCCGTCTAGGTTGCCTCAACCTAGACGGAACTTTCCGTCTAGGTTAAAGGTCAACCTAGACGGAATTTCCGTCTAGGTTGACTAGTTAACCTAGACGGAAATTCCGTCTAGGTTAAGGCAACCTAGACGGAATTTCCGTCTAGGTTGCCTAGGGCAAATTAAACCCACTTCAGCCGCCCCCCCCCCCAAAGGTCAACCTAGACGGAATTTCCGTCTAGGTTGACTAGTTAACCTAGACGGAAATTCCGTCTAGGTTAAGGCAACCTAGACGGAATTTCCGTCTAGGTTGCCTAGGGCAAATTAAACCCACTTCAGCCGCCCCCCCCCCCAA